GAAGTTGGTGGAGGGGGGGGGGGGGGGGCATATGAACTTGAATTCACACAAAGCAAATCATTTGGACAGGATAGTGTATTTCCACTTGACAAATCCACCGAATGGTGCCAAAATCACTCTTTGGTGAGCTTCTCGCAATCATGTCTGCCATTATAATTTCAAACTCAAGGCTGAGCGCTAGCAGAGAATACGCAGAAGAAAGTCACAAAGGTCAAGCAGCGTTGGACGGAGGCGACCCGCACAAGCATCACTGCTCATCCGCGGTGAGCGCTTGTGTCATTTGATTGACAGGCCTCCAGATCTAACCTTCACCAAAGTGTGTCGAGGGCAGTGGCAGAGGGGCTGAAGGGGGCAACGCTTGTCAGCCTTGTTGAGCTTCATACAGTAAATCCACTCACACGGTCGTCTTGGAGAAGGAGATGTTCGTGAGGCGGACAAAGGTTGGGTGGGAGCTTGGACGTCGGCTGATTTCAAGTTCAAATTGGAAAATTGGGACAAAGACTCGAGTGCATATTGAGATGTGGATCTCTTGTGTAACCTTGCTGAGATGAAGGCCAGGAGGTATTGTCCTGATGGCCCCTTGTTTTGTCAGCGGGATTACACAAATACGCCATTGCAGATTTCCGCGAAACTTCGTGGTGGGCGGCACAGAGCAAAAACTCTTTAAATGTTGCCCGTTGCAAATCTCAATAGCAAAACAGATATAGAAATTCAGATGATTTTTTTCACCCTATAATCCACAGGTGTCAAACTCGAGGTGCGGGGCCAGATCTGGCCCGCCACATCATTTTATATGGCCCGCAAAAGCAGATCATGTGTGTCGGCTTCCGTGGTCTTTTCTAAAATCTGTACCGAAATGTGTCATAAATAACATTGAGATTTTGCAATAATTTTCGGACCTTGTTTATACTCACTTGAACAATAAGTCAACAAACAACAAAAATAGTTGACTGATTTCAATTTGATTTGATTTGATTTCCATCAATTTGTTGTTTACAAGTAATAATACTATGTGATGATTAAATATAATTCAGCCCTCCGAGGGAAGATGTAACTCCAAAGTGGCCCGCCACAAAAATTACTCGGTGGTGGTGTTTTTGTCCTTTTTCAAATCCCAGTTAACAGTGGATTAAGAATTCCATTCAAGTTGTTTTGCATGCCATTTATTTGTTTCTCAATTACACCCGCATGACAATAAGCTACTGTGACGGCATCAATTCATCATCTGTCTGAGTGAAAGGGATGTTGTGTTCCCTCTTTGAAAGGGGAAGTCAAGTCAAAAGATTTCTTGACAATATTATGCACCCCCACTAGTCGAAAGAAGGCATTCTGGTTGATGTGTTTGTCGAATAAAGCAGCAAAAGCCAGCTGTTTTTATCCATATTGTGGTGGGGGAGAATTTTCCCATTTGCTGTCAACTGAAAATGACATCACGGGGCTTCGTTGCTCAGGTAACGACCAATCATGGCCCACCTGTTTTCTTGCTTCGGTGACATTTTCAGTCGACAACAAGTGAGAAAATGGCCGCCCCCTGAAATGGATAAAAGCAGCTGCATTTTGCTGCTTTATTCACATTCAACACACGCAATGTTAATCAGAATGTTAAGACAAGTGTGGGCGCATAGAACATTTTATTGTCAAGAAAAATTTTCATTTGATTTTCCCTTTAAGAATTTCATTTTAAATGTAATAATTGTCTGACCATTCCTAATCACATTTTTTTTTTTTTTTTTGCAGAAAACGGTCTTGAGTTGTAAGTGGAACTGCAAGCATTCAGCTAAATGTTTCACAATTTAAAAGAAACTCACGATATTCCAAGAATGATTGTTCCTGAATGGACTTAATTTCGAGAGTCCCATTAGTAATTTTCAATTTTATTTATTTTTTCAATTCCTGAAATGCATTCCTTACCATTTAGTCCAGTCTTCAATTCTAGGAAGAGCTTTTGAAAGTGCTCTTGCAGCAGCTGTTGTATTTTCATGAAAATAACTGCAGTTGATTTCTTGGTAGATCACCGCAGGGACAGCCAGAACAGAGAAAGTAAATGACTACTGGTATTTATTTCTCTTCTGTCATCAAGTTTAGTACCTGGCTTAGTCAACATACTATACTGATGGTTGTGCACTTCAAAACTCATGAGTCGCGTCACTCTTGCAGTCATACAGTGTGAACAAAGAACGGGGCCTCAATCCAAACCAGTGAAACGACATCAGCCTTAAATGCTGTGCTATGTCACGGCCCAGCCTAGCTACCAGTCGGGAGACATAAACACAACACGGAACTCCAACGGTCCTGTGAAATGTTTGCGCTCTGATCTCACTCTTTCCAGCATCTCAACAATCCAGGAGTCACACCCATTGTGCTGACCAGAGAGCGGACCCATTTCTTTTGGAAACGTTGTAAATTGATCTATCTTGCCTTCGAATGTCTCTTCAGCTGCACTCTCGCAACCCGAGTGCTTCCAGAACCTTACAGACCGTGGGGCATGTCCCCAATCCCTCTGACATTTCGGACTTGTGTTGTGTTTTTAGTCGTTTGCCTCGTGTCTCTGAATCATCTGCACAAAACTGACAATAGCTTCATTTGGCGAGGCCCTGGAAGGGTTACGCTGAATTTGAAAGGGGTGACAGTACTTCCCCAGACCGGCGTGTGCAATATCTTTTGAGAGCCAAAGTGATGAGTAATAGAGTGGACTTGTGAGAACTGGTGAGGGTGGTGCAGGGGGTCTGCATTTGCAGTTTTACACGAGCAGGTCACAACATGCCATTGTGCCTTTTTCCCATCAGACCTCTCCTTCACTGACACACACACACGTACACTCACACCTCTTTCAGAATGCAGACAGCACATTCCATCTGTATCAATAGATAATTGGCTCTCTCTGTCCTTACATGTCCTAAATCAGAACTGTTGTCAATAGGCTTCCGGTCACAGCCAGAAAAGGTTCAAAAATGTTCAGTGTTTATGAACACACAGATTCAAATCGTCCGTTTCCTTGCACACAAATTCCCATTTAACTGCACGGTAAGACATGGTTCAAGGGTCATGTCACAGCACCCCCTACTGGTGACATTTTTAAAAAGAAAAAAAAAGCTACCGTTCTCTTCAGCCATTTCCCCAAAAGACAATAAATTATTTAAACCAAGCACACCCAAGTCCCGCACCATCTTTATGAACATTAATGTTGCGCGTATGTACCAACCGCGTGTCTGGTGTTGTAACTGTGCATCATTTGCGAGACAACTGACATGAAATGACGCATCGTTCCCAATTGTCTTCTTCTTGGCAGGGTGCTGGAGACAGCTTCATTGGAGCCCTCGCATATTACGTGGCTCATTATCCCGCAATGCGATTGGAGGAGGTGGCCCGGAGAGCAGGTCAAGTGGCAGCAGTGAGCGTGCAGTCCATGGGCGCGCAGTCTTCGTACCCACACAAACGGGACTTAGGGGCTGAACTCTTCTGAGAGCAGTTAAATCTATTCCCATGGGTCTCACTGGACACATGAACTTGCCTTTTTTTTTTTAATTGATGTGATGCTTTCGAGCAATCCGAACAACCAATGAAAGACTATGTTGACTTAATTAAATGTACCAAGAAGCAAGCTGAAATGATGCACACAAAGCATTTATTCAGTGAAAAGGACGTGGAATAGCACTTGATGGTCATTTTATGACAGACACAACTGACAAGGAAAATAATTGTCCTTTTCGATTAATTATTCAAGTTGTGGTTGATGTCATAAAAATGACAAAACATGAAGGACTTGGTCATAAGAGGCATATTATACCAAAGTAGAATCATAGCCGCGAGCTTATGTCCTAGGCTTGGTGCAAGTGGGGACCAGACATTGCCTTTAACAGGATCTGCAGCTTGATGTTTTCTTTTGGAATCCAGGAGGCAAATGTTCTCTTTTAAACGCTGCAGGTTTATTGTCCATGTGTTGAGGTGCGTTTTAAACGGATCTGATCTTCCTCTTCTCAAAGAAGAGGACATGCTTGTTCACTGCAACAAGAGAGAACAAAACAATTGGAGAAAATAAGCATCACCTTTGACTTTACCATCTATAGCAAAAAATCTGTTTTGTTTTTTTTCTAGTGCACAAGGGTACTTCTATTTTGATTATTTTTTATTTTTTTGGGATGTGGCCTTTTAAAAAGGCCACTGAGACGCCGCATAGGAGTTCAGAGAAAATGAATCGACGATCAAGCAATGTTGAAAGAAGCAGCGTGAAGAGTAGCTGTGCTGCTGTTGTAACCCCCCCACCCAACACAGTGTTCAATAAACGTGGTAATTCTAATCCAAAGGTTTCCAGATTGTCAACTCCAGACTGCTTCGTACAACGCGGTTAATAATGTACACCGAGGGTCCCCAACCATTGGATCATGGCCCGGCACCAGGCCACACCAAATGAATTTTGAATCATTTCATTTACATGAATCTTACTAAAAGTGCAATACAGCTTTTACCACGCATTGTCATTTATAGCTATGGCGCTTCAGAAAATTTATATTATATTATATTATATAAAGGAGGAGAACATCCCATCACAAATGCTGGCGTCTGAACTTGGCATACATAACAGTCAGGATGGTTCTTTTCCTCCTTGGCCAGGAGGACACAAAATCCACAATTTCCTAAAACAATTTGAAATGTGTACTCGTCAGACCACAGAACACTTTTCCACTTTGCATCAGTTCATTTTAGATGAGCTCAGGCCGACAGAAGTCGGAGGCATTTCTGGGTGTTGTTGATAAATGGCTTTTGCTTTGCATAGGAGAGTTTTAATTTGCACTTACAGACGTAGTGCGAACTATATTTACTAACATTGGTTTTCTGAGGTGTTCCTGAGCACAATGTGGTGATATCTTTTACAAATTGATGTCGGTTTTTAATGGAGTGCCGCCTGAGGGACCGAAGGTCAATGACATTTTCAGTGTAGCCACAAATCTGGGCTTGTTTAATTTGAAGAAAAAGTTTATATATTTGCTAATTAGTCTGTTGGATGAATGGCAACAGGTGGATACACAGGTTAATTGCATCTTTTGCTCTTGAAAGAGGGTTTATTTTTTTCTGCCTGTCACTATACGCCATGTTGCATCGAAAGACAAATATATTTACGATATTACAACTAAATAAAAATGTATAATCAGATACAAACAGTAATTATTAAAACAATAATTTTGTGGACACACTTCCTACATTTTTTCACTTTTAACCTACCTTTACAACCAGTAATTGATTTTCCTCAGAGCCAACCAACACTGAACCCAAAATCGTGACAACAACATTAAGATACCAACTAAGCCGTGGATTTCGAAAACTGTTTCACCTGTCGTTCTTATGCATAGAAATCTTACCAAACGGATCATTTTTTCGCAGCACTAGTTTGTCTCTGAGACGGTTTCTCTTGGTGTTGAAGCAGTAGCCCGTCCCCGCAGCGCTCATCATCTGCACAAGGATGGTCCTGGTAGAATACACAACATTCCCGTTACTGCCTTGCTCAGGGAACTAAGAATCATGGGGTCGATCATTTGTCACTTACTTTGATTTCGCCTTTGCCACTGAAAAATGGAAAGAAGCCGTCAAATCAATGTTGAGTTAAGTAACACACCAATTTCAAGTGAGCTAAGATGTTTATAATGCTGCTGGCTTCTTTCTCAGGGACAATTCTATATTGCGACGTAACACAGTCAACATGCACCGATGCATAAAAACAGACTAGGTCACAAAGACAGCACATACGTACTTAAGTGTATATAAAGTGAACATTTAAAAAGTATGACCACTTGACAACTATGCTAGCATGGTAACGCTCGTTCGTAAAAGGCTAATGAGGGGCACATGCTTGACACATCCTTGATTGCAAAAAATACGGATCGGATACTCACAGTTCACGGAGGTAAGAAACATTTTCTCCCCCACAAAAACAATCGAGAAATAGCAATGAAATGTGTAGTATTAAACCATGAGTCAATCGGGAAGGTTACGTCGAAATATCAACTTCCGGGTCAGCACACGTTGTAATTCCGCTGAGCGATTATTTTTAGTTTTTTGTTTCAACCAACAAAATTCGAATAATCAAAACGACAGGATTGAGATGGGGACAACATAAGATTTTGATGTAAATAAAATGTATTTGAGTTGAATTTTCTTTTATTAAAGAAAAATAGAAATGTCACACGATGCGATGATGAATGACTTTGTGATTTTCAAAGTAGTTCAATTGCAAGTTTTGCGTTTTCTCGGAAGGAATTGTATTCCCTCGCAAAGATTACGATATCGCAAAGGTTTTTGTTTGTTTGTTTTTTGCAAGGGGATGCTTTTTTTTTAATGCGCGTTTATGTACTTCCGAGTCAGTTTGGCTGCTGTAGCCTCCAATTCAAGGCTGTTGAGAGTAGTCAGAGACTGCAAAAATCAGACGGCAACGCAGTTTTTTCCCTTCCATTTCACCTTAAGGGGCTCCATAGAGTCCTTAAACAATCTACAGCGCACACGTTGTAATTCCGCTGAGCGATTATTTTTATTTTTTTGTTTCAAACAACAAAATTCGAATAATCAAAACGACAGGATTGAGATGGGGACAACATAAGATTTTGATGTAAATAAAATGTATTTGAGTTGAATAGAAATGTCACACTATGCGATGATTTTCATTGTGCTTTTCAAAGTTGTTCAATCGTGTTCCCCCGCAAGTTTTGCGTTTTCTCGGAAGGAATTTGTATTCCCTCGCAAAGATGACGATATCGCAAAGGTTTTTGTTTGTTTGTTTTTTTTGCAAGGGAATGCTTTTTTTTCTTTTTTTTAATGCGCGTTTATGTACTTCCGAGTCAGTTTGGCTGCTGTAGCCTCCAATTCAAGGCTGTTGAGAGTAGTCAGAGACTGCAAAAATCAGACGGCAACGCAGTTTTTTCCCTTCCATTTCACCTTAGGGGGCTCCATAGAGTCCTTAAAAAAATCTACAGTCACATTCACATTTTCTTTTAACTTCACTACCTCCCATCACGATAGTTTTAACTTTGGTATGTGTTAAAAAGCAAGAGCAAATTATTGTATGTCACTAAAGGGATATAGACAGCTATAATAAATGTCTTCAATATCACTGTCTTTACAGGATGGACTAATGTGCT